AAACATGTCTTAAAGAGTACCTCCATCTCTTTTTGCTCCAGCTTTTCTCATTCCTGCTTTTTAAAAATTTTCCCTTTGTCTCCTCAAAATAAATGTCTTTTCTTTACATGAAATTATACAATTTCTCACGTGAGAAAAACATGTGGGATGATATATATACACATTCTGGTGTGGTCAAAATACAATCTACCACGAACCCTGAATAAAGGAATGGCAAATACAAAATCTTGCAGTTGATATTAAATTAGGAGGGATTACTAATGCTCTCAAAAATGTAAAAAGTTGATTAAATCTCTTCTTGATAATTAAAAGGAGTATATTGATTAAGATCTTCAGCTTTGGAGTCAGACAGACTTGGACAGATTCAAATAAATTACTTGACATATGACATGGGGGTAGTAATACCTACTCTATTTGGTTGTTGCCACATAGTAAGGGCTTGTTGCTATTATTATAAATACTAACTGCAATACTTTTTTAGCAAAGAATATTTGGCAAATACAAAAGTATAGAGAGAAGAAAATCAGTCACTCATAATCTCACCACTCAGAAAAAATGAAACTCATTTTAAAATGACCTTGACAAAATAAGAGTCCTGTTTTTAAAAAAGGATACACTTCAGTAGGAAAATGGTGAAAAAAGACCAAAATCCTGCTCTGCACCATTTTACGATACTTAGCAGATGGGTATGGCTCTGTCAGGCAGATGCAGAGCTGGGGGAGGCAGGAGTCTCCTACACTGGGTGACAGGGTAGGACGAGCCCCTGAGGGGAGCAAGAGGAGGTCTCACCAAGAAGGTGGTACGTAAGCTATGCCAAACTGTGAGTGGGCCTCAGATCACTAGGAAGCAATGGGAAGAGGTCTGAGAGCAGGTGGTGAGAGCAGCACAGACAGGCTGAGGGAGCCATTTACCAGGAGCCCTGGGCAGACAGGTCTGATCAGACTGCTGGGTTCCTTTAGGAGAAGTGGCGATTGAGGAGTAACTATTAGGTCAGATGATGAGCATGATGCCAAGTTAAGAGATTTAAACATTATCCTCATAGGCAGTGGGAAGCTTCAGAAGTCTCTGAGGAGGAACAGGAATGAACTATACTATTATATTTTAGATAGTTTACGTGAAACACGTGCGAGAGTCTAGAAACAGGGAGATAAAATACAAAATATCAGACGAGAGAACTTAATGAGGAAACGTTTTTTTAAAAGAATAAAAGAGTCAGGAATTGATACAGAATGCAAAAGGACTAAGTATAAATATCCTAGAAAGACTCTGTAGACACATGCCATATTTGGAGTATAGCTGTAAAAATAACATGATGTTGAGAAATATCAAAAAGGAATATGACAGCAAAAGGCTAATATATGCTATATAATCAGAACTCTGTGAGGTCGTTTCATTCATCAAATGAATAGTTTAAGTAAATAAAGGGGCAAAAATACAAGTGTTTTTGTTGTTGTTCTTGTTGTTTTGAGGAAAATTAGCCCTGAGCTAACATCCGCTGCCAATCCCCCTCTTTTTGCTGAGGAAGATCGGCCCTCGCTAACATATGTGCCCATCTTCCTCTGCTGTGGTTGTTGTTTTTAAAAACAGCCAAAGTAATGGAGGCTAACAGAGTCAAAAAATAAGCCCAATAATGACAATGGCCCTCAAGTATAGAGAGAGAGCTAGGGAGGAAGTGCTGATTAGCTGGTTTCTGCAATAAATCTGTGGGGAACATAGAACATGGGCTTCAATACAAAAACAAGATGTGTTTCCCCTGGAAGGAATAAAGCATCTCCCAATCGTACGTTCTGTCCTCTGTCTCTCTTTCACCACAGTTCCATGAAAATCTTCAAGAAGTAGTAGCACACTAAATACTTTATAAATTCACATTCCTCCAAAGCCTCCTCAAGACACTTCTAATCCCAAGATTCTGTGACTCTCCTGCCCCATCCAGTAAGGGTCTCCTCTAAGAACATTGCATCTGCCTGCGGTATATGGAGGGAGGAGGAAAGAGAGCTCCCTTGAAGTCAGCTGGAATGTACAAATCAGTGACCAGCAATTAATGGTGATAGATATTATGGTCTCATCACTTATTCCATATTTGACCCTGGGTTTTTTAAAATCACTAAACCACATCACTCAGATACAGGAAACAGATAACCTCCTACAAAACTGCTCCTGGAGGGTTAGGTGCCCTGGCCAAAAGAGACAATTAGTAACTCAGGCTGTCTCACTCCTGATCTAGGTGCTCCCCACTCTGAGTATTTTCTATTTTCATGTTTCCACTTTAATATTTTTCCATGTACTTCTGAAGTTATGTATTTCTCTCTCCCCAAAGCATTTCACATCCTGTACTCTGTTATGGAGTGAATGTTTGTGTCCCTCCAAAATTGATATGTTGAAATCTACTCCCCATGTGATGTTATTGGAAGGTGGGGCCTTTTGGAGGTCATTAGGTCATGATGATGGAGCCCTCACGATGGGATTAGCGGCCTTACAACAAGAGATATGGGAGCCAGCTCACTCTTTTTCTGCCACGTGAAGATACAATGAGAAGTTGCCAGTCTGCAACCTGGCAGGGGGCCCTCACCAGAACCCAGCCATGCCGGCACCTGATCTCGGACTTCCAGCCTCCAGAGCTACGAAAAATACATGTCTGTTGTGTATAAGTTATCCAGACTATGCTATTTTGTTATAGCAGCCCAAACTAAGACATATCTGCTTTTCAAAAAAATTTCCATCCCAAACAACTTTACGTTTTTAGGATGTGGAACGCTATTTTATTCCTGTCTAGGCACCTGGCTCATAATATATAAGGCTAAAACACAAACATCACAAGCCTACAGACATCTAAGTTGAGGTTTCTTATAAGACCTGCTTAAAGAAATAGACATTTTTCAGAGCTGTAGAATGGAAGCCAGCCATGTAAGGTAACGATCAGTGAATCATATCACATGCAGCCGAAAAAGAAAATTGCTCCATGTGGAGAGCAGAGATTTAAGAGGCCAAAGTTGCCATGTAGACAGGGGAATGCAGGGCTGGGGAAGAGAATTCTGAACCAGGAGAAGGTCATCCTGGTAATCTTCTCCAAAGGTCAGCATGAATCTCACGTGTAGAGAGAGTCCATGCGCCAGGCGTGTCCTAGGTTTTCCTATCTATAGACCTTTTCCAGCTATAACTTGTCTAGATTCAAGAATCGTGGCCTGAACTTCTGCCCAAGCCCCTGTCCCTGAGCCTTGGAACTATCCGTCTTTCATGTGTCAGAAGTGAACACCCTGCTGGTTGCTGGAGGAGAAGGGGGAGGCTTTCTCCTTTCACAGCTTTACTGTTTGATTGTAACCAACTCCCAGGGACAATTCTGGACTTAATGAGCCCTTCCTTTGTCCTTGGAATAGTCACAGCATGCAGCTGTCAGGCAGCAGGAGTTGCACAGGAGTCTTACAGATCCTCCATAACTCTGCAGACAACATCATATTTCACATTGTCAGTTACCAATGGCCCGACAGCAGAGACCCTGCCTTCTATAAATTCCCAAACAAAGGAGGACCAGATGTGTCTTCTTTATTGGCCACATTTTCCTGCACGTCCTGAGTAGTCTTTGAAGAAAAGCAAATTTTCCTTTTTTCTATGAAAGAGGGGAGGAACAGCATGTATTAATGGATAGTTACTAAAATTCAGTGACCCAGGAAGCATTTTCTAAGCATCTCCTTCGAGCAAAGCACTGAGCTGGGGTCTACAGATCTGGTTCAGAAGAGTGTAAATAATTCCTGGCTTACCCTGCCCAGGTGGAAACAGCTCTCTGCAGAGGGGGGCTCTCAGCCTCAGGACATGCATAAAGCATTTATCCTGCCAGACCTATAAATGCCTAAATCAGGACTCTCTAGTCAGAATAAACACTTTACTGAGACGTGATGGTTATAAAAAACTCACAACAATAGTTTTATAAGGCCATGCTTGCAAGAATCAGATTTGGCCTAACATCAATTGGTTATATCTTACTCTAATAAAGTGATACATTGTATTTCAAAGTCTTACTTTGTTCAAGGTTAACCTTTAACTGTACATGAGCGGGCAACAATGATGACGCAGTACCTCTTTGTCATTCTCGTTGGCATAAACTTTTAAGCACATCCAACAATTACTTGGTAGCTAGCTTGAGGTTGTTGATTACTGATGCTACAGGCTTTTGCCCCCACTATATAGTGAAGCCAAAATCGATCTGTTGTCAACCTGCTGATTATCATCTTGTCATCAGCAGTCCAGCTGGGATGATGAAGACCAGGTCAGCCCAGGAGAATCTCTCAAAACAAATTTGTATACTGATTCCCCTCCCTCCCTATCTCTTTGGGACCATATTTGAGGCTTGCTGTGATCTGGGGACACTTGGGAGTGTATGTCTTTTCAAAGAGAGAAAACCTCAAATCTTTCATAAATTTGTTTTCAGAATGAATTTTACTCTTAAAAGGTCATCTATAGTCAAATACGCTTCTTCTTAAAGAGGAAATAAAATATTTTTCAATAAATTGTCTCCTCCAATGTAAAAAAGAGTTGAGCTTTATGTCAGTATATTTATGACAAAGAAAATATTTAAGAACTGTATCAGTATCATTTTATGTTTGTGCAAAATGCTACAAAAACCTAGGATGGGGCCGGCCCGATGGCACAGCGGTTAAGTTTGCACATTCCGCTTCGGTGGCCTGGATTTCGCTGGTTTGGATCCTGGGTGCAGACATGGCACCGCTTGGCAAGCCATGCTGTGGCAGGCGTCCCACATATAAAGAGGAGGAAGATGAGCACGGATGTTAGCTCAGGGCCAGTCTTCCTCAGCCAAAAGAGGAGGATTAGCAGCAGATGTTAGCGCAAGGCTAATCTTCCACAAAAAAAGGAAAAACCTAGGGTGCTTATTATGTGTAATGTTACTGAAAAGCTCTGAAGAAGGCTTGTTACCCCAGCCTGAAATCCCAAGAATAACCCTTCTCCTCCTTCCTTTCTTTTCCTTCCTTTTTTTCACAAATGCGCAGTCCAGGTCTTACTGATTCCTGAGAAAATCCTGGAAGGTATTACCCGGGTGACTGATTTCCACCTTCAGCAATGGAAAAGTAAGAAGAATAACAATGGTACGATTCCAAGTAAGGTCATATTTAATGGCATATGTGGAAATGGTGCTCATTTCCAAACTAGCTGATCTGGAATGAAGAGGAGTGTGAATTTTTCATTCAGAATTTCCCTTTATACCTCTAATAATTCCCCTGCATCTCTTCTTTTCTCAAAAATAACTCCCAAATATTATTAGCTAGGGGTTTCTTTTGCATTCGCTTTCTCAAGTAAATGAGTCATGCTGTTCTCCAGGACATCTTTTACTAATGAGCTTCTTTATTTGGGCTGAAGCAATGGTGACCTCAAGTGCTGACAAGCAGCAAAAATAGTTGCTTGGAACTCAAACAGTGCATTTGTATGTCACAAGTCCAGTGCACTTTGAGGTATTTACCTGCTTTTCCCTTCCTTTTATATCCCCTCCCTGTCCACACAATATTTACCATCAGGTTGTATCTTTTCTCCCAGTCAGGCCATATCCAGGCTTAAAAATCCTTAGAGTGGTATTTTAAATGCAGCTCTATGCTAATCAGCAAGATATATCCTTTTCCAAAACCAAAAAGAATTTCTTTTTAAATACTTCAAAGTTATTAAAGTGATCTAGGGAGGTTCTTCTACTATTTGCCAACTTGAAAATATATGTACATCCGCAATGTGAAAGGATTCAGTCTCAAGGTGTGGTATAGTACGTGAATTTGATTTTGTAATGCATTCCTGGTTTACTGAATTTATTAAATACAATGAGGTTTTGAGAATATGTATGAGGTAAAATTGCTTAATGATTCTCGCATAGCTAAACTCTGACCCATGCGTGGGCTTTTGTACATTCACCTTAGAATTGAGGGGAGCCAATATAACCAACAACAGACTCACATGCATGCAGAAAAACACGGACGAAAAATATCTTGCATTTGTATGGCACACTACAATTTAAAATTACATAATTCTTCATGATTATACCTGCCTCATATTGCACCTGCTTGAAAGAGTTGCAAGGATTAAATGAAACAATGCAGGTAAATTCTTGACGCATATGTAGGTCACAACAAATGGAAATTCTTGTTCCTGTTACTGATTTCTTTTTCGTCTGTGGGTGACACACATTTCTATTCTATCTGTTCTCATAAATCTGTTAGTCTTTTCTTCAAGGTAACATTGAAATCAAGTAATAGCCACAGACTCTCACTCACCTCAGGTTTTCTTTCTGAAAGGTATGGAGTAATTCATAGTGCATGAATTCCTCAAACTATATTCTACGTCTGTACCAATTTCTCTCAGTTTCCTGACTCGAGACTTCACTAGGCTCAACTAGAAATAATATTCCATTGACTTTTTATGAATTTTTTCAAACAAATTTTTAATTTGTGTTTAATGATCCAGCTCTTTGAAGATTATAATATATTTTCTCTTCCAGATACTTTCCTCTGTCAGTGATCTCAATTAGTCCTTTTCTCCATTACTTCCCAATTGCAAAGCTATAATTTTAACTCTCTTTAAAAGAGTTGTATAAGACTGTCAGATTGAAGGAAAAATTAAAAATAAAGAAGATATTGCTTCTAAGAGCTGAAGGTTGTCCCTTCTCAGCAAAGATGGAGCACTTGTACCTCAGGCCAACAAATCACAGAGGATTAATCTGGAGCCATGCACAAATTATTTCTTAAAATTAGGCTTTAATTAATTTGCTGTAGAGAGAAATAAAATGTTACCATGTGGTGAGCAAAATAGTTTATTCTGTTACCTTTGCCCTATAAAATGGTTACGTGAACTTCAGCAACAAGCCATCTCTCACAGCATCTCACTATTTTGAGAACATTTTCAGTGGCATAATAACAATATCTAGTCTCTGAAGAAAGAAAATGCTGTTGAGCTTTAGCAGTACAATAAGCACTGGTAGTTGCTCACCCAGAAATTATTCCCCACACCCACCTTCTTCCCTGTTCACAGAATTCAATTTTGTTCAGGTCTTACTCATTAAGTCCCAATTTTTACGAGGCAGCAAACTCTCCATCAGCTCCAGGGGAGGTGGCCCATTTCTACATCCAGCCCCGCACTAGACCTGGGGTGAATCACAATTTGGCCAGTTCCCTTTGCCGGTGATTGCCTTACACAGGAACATGTGATATTGTTCAGATGAAGGAGATAGGAGAGGTCTCTAATGAAAGGATTCTAAAAAGCAGTGAAGAAGAAGAAAGGATTCCTCTTCTGCTCCTGGATGTTGTCATACCTGTATGTTGTTGTGAAACGGCAGCACCCATCTTGGGACCATGAAGGAATGGTGAGGACGGCAGAATAGAAAGATGAAAGTAAAGTAGAATTTTGAGGACGTCAGAAAACTGCTGAATTAACAAACCTTGGGACTGTCCTACCTCTAGAATTCTTGCTATGTAAGATAATGAACCCCTTCATTATTTAAGACATTTTAAGTTGGGGTTGCTGACACTTGCAACTAAAATCAGCCTAACTAAGCTACTGCAATATCATTGTATGAGGCGCTTGCAAGGGCTAAAAGCTGTCCATCACTTTAGTGCTAGGCCAGGAGATTCAGCCCTCATTTTCTAGCATTCTAAGACCTATTCCTTTCAGCTTCCAAATGTATAGGTACATGTTATTATAACTTAGAAAGGAAAGGTTATTAAAGCATTAGGCGAAATAATAAATTTGCGAAATATGAAAAGCTGAAAGTAATACATAACACTCACCAGAGAAGAATAGCGATAAATAAAGGACAGACCTGAATCTGTAGCTATCATTATATTTATCATTCTGGAATGCCTATCCAGAAAGAATGAATCCTTAAAGGTTATCAAAATAAGGCATGTGAGATTTGAAACCATACGGGTAGAATAGAACGGTGGCTAGAAATGGCCAAGATGAGATATAATAGGAATAAATATAAAATCTTAGATCTAGGTCCTAGAAAAGGCAGTGTACAAATTTAGGAAAGAGCTAAAAAGAAACCCTAGTGGTTTCAACTGTTCCCAAATTTGGCACATAGAAATAATGTTATGTGGCCACCATAAACATAATGAGATCTTCCTTCATCAATTGAATATAGTATCTACATAGGTGGTTTTTATCCCAGCTAGATATCAAAATTATGTGTCTCTTCAAAAATGCAAATATCTGGGCCCAACTCCATACCTAGTGAATCAGAATATTTTATATTGAACCTGACCTTGCGCGTTTTGTAAAAGTCCATAGGCAACAGCGCATGAACTGGTCTAGACTCTAGATCAAGCAAGATCTGTTGAACTCATCTCTAAGCAGGTGTCACCAGTGGGACTTTATATAGTTCTGGGAACCATAGTTTCAAAAAAGACATTTAAAAGTTGGAATGCACACACAGAAAGCCAACCAAGAAAGGGTCTTTTGGATTACGTCATGTGATGAGTAGATGAAAGACCCAAGGATATTTGATCTAGAAGTGAAAGTATACTCAGAAGGAACCTATGAAAAGAAACTATGTACACATGTTGGATATTTAAGATCTGAGATGGGGAAGAGGTGCTACTGTTTCATACCTCTGAATAAAAGGATTAGAGAACTAATATATGAAGTTAGAAGATAAAAGATTTTAGATCAATATAAAGAAAACTTTTCAAGCCATGAAACAGTCAACAATGGAAAGGATTGCTTTGAAAAACAGCAATTTTCTCATAATTGTAAGTTTCTCCAAAAGGTCATATAAGTGACATTGTGGAACACAATCAGGAAGGCTGTAATGGGGACACCTGCCCTCAAAAGGGAGGAAACTAGAATACCTTTGAGGTTACCTTTGGCTCTGAGATTCTATGATACTCTGAGCAAATATATCACATAAAACACACAGAAGGAAATCTTGGAAGTCACCTTTTAAAGGTCCTTCATTGTATGGATAACAATTGCCAACACTTAGTGAACAATTACTACATACACATTATCCCTAATGTGAACAGCAACCTAGAAAGATCATATTGTTAGTCTTATTTTATAGATGAGAAAACCAACTTACTGAGAAGTTATCTAACTTAACTTAAGCATTTAAATAGAAAGTGGAAGAGAGAGGGCTTAAAACCAAACCTTGCCAAAGCCTCTCCTTGTTTTGTGTGACAATCCCCAGTGACTTTTCAAGGTCTACAAAATGAATACTCCACTCCCTGTTTTGTATTCAAGAACTTCTGTGATCTTTCACTAACCTATATTTTCAACCTTATTTTTCATCATTACCCTTAATTCATTTTATGATGCAGTTAAACTGAACTACTTGTTTCCTTCTAAACCCAAGGTCTCCTGACTCTAAGCTTATATTAAAGCTGTTGCTTCTAATTCTAACACCATTTCTTCTCTTCTCCACATCTCTTTAAACTTAAACTCTATTCAAGGACCAGTTCAAATACTGCCTCAAGTCTCCTTCCTCCTTAACTCAAAGTAAGCTGTCCATCCTGAGAAGTCCCATTGCATTCTATACTAGCTCTCTCGTAGCATTAACACCACTTTCTGCTTTGCATTTATTAAGCATGTATCTGTGTCTATGACACATTACGACAATTTTTTATGTGTCTAATTTTTCCTACTCATTTCTAAAATTCCCCTACTAAATTCTCCCAATATTGAATATTCCACCATCACACGGTAAATAGTCAATACCTTCTGATTAAATAAGTGAATGAAAAAAACCCTTGAGCCACAAAGAATTTAAGCGATTTACCCAAAGTCACAAAAGTAATTTGTATCCCTACCAGAACCGGAGCCTACATCTTCTACAGAATTATTATTATTATTTTTATTTAATTACACCATGAAGCAATTCACATTCACATTACTAGAAACAAGAAGAGACTATGTGGATTTTTGATTCAGTTCTCCAAGGGCAGGGGGAAAAAAAAAAACCAGGAAAAAACTTTTAAGAAAAGTCCTCTGTTTCCTTCTCTGGGAAAAGAAAATCAGAAAATGTTGGTGGTCATATTTTTTAATGTTTCACTTAAATAATTAAAGCCAAACTCAAATACCTCAAACCGAGATCTGTCAGCACAGTCACTAACTA